GTGATTTATCATTCAAAACGTATTTGCTTAGTAGGAGTGGTATAGTAGGTAGGCAGTGATTTCTATTTAACAGTTGCATGATGAAGTCTATCAACTGTTTCTTTGTTGTCCAGCACACCCCAGAAAAATCTCACTGTTTAAAGCCAGGCAGAGGTTGCACATGCTGCGTGGGGCTCTCACAGACCAGCTGCTCAGGCCTCAGCAGGCACCAGGAGCAAAGTGTGCCACGGGGGCTCTGGTGGGGGGATTATGCCTGAGGTGAGTGCCTTGGGTTGTGGTCACTGTGCTGGTGAGCACAGCTGGCAGTCTTTCCAGATGCACTTTCAAATATACAGAGGGAGAACTGGCCTGGGGCATGGGAAGAACTGTCAGCTAGCAAAGGCATGTTATTTATTAGCTGTTGCCAGACTGGGAAGCTCAGTACTTTAAACTCACCAGTTGTTTCTCTGGATTCCACAGAGTGATAATCTTTTGCACTCGAGGGAGCTCAGGGCTTCAATTAGAGCAGGCCCAGCTGTGAAATTGCCCACTCCTGGCCTTATTACCCACTGAGTAGCGACATCCATGCCTGCAATTCCCTCTGCATGATGTATCCCATCCTTTCAATGGGCAAAACAAGCACTCCATAGCTGCACTGTGTAGGGTTTCACAGCACTGGGCAGCTAAGCTCCAGCACAGCACTCCATCCCACTCCTCAAAAGAAAATACAATGGAAAAAGGATCATTCACCAACAGCTGTCAAACTGGACAGCACAGTGAGATTAATGTAACTTATTGCCCATTACTAGCAGCTTAGAGCAGTGAGAACTAAAAACAAACTACAACACCTTCCCCCCCATCCCACTGAGATTCCTTGCATAGGCAAGATTTCTGCCAACACTGTGAAACAAACTAAATTCTACAAAGCTATCAAATTCTGCTGTCCAGAAGTTGGGGCAGCCTGCAAGTGTCTCAGTCAGTTCAGAGCTTCTACTCATTTGCTGCAGTTCCCATTCATTTACTCCATTAAAGCACATGCCATTTGTGGCTGCCACAAGTACCTGGCTATTGCACCTATCCATTCACAACTACCCACTGTCCATGGGTGGTAGAGAAACAAGAAACATGGTGATGCTGGCTTTCAAAATTCAGTACACAGCAGGAGAGCAGAGTAGGGAAAGTCTCACCTGGTTTGTGTGGTCATGTGCAAAGCTCAAGGTAGCAAAGGGCTTCCTGTTGTAGAGCTGTGGTTAATCTGAGCTGTCCCTCACATTAAGAACACACAGCTCCAATACAAGTGATGATTGAGCCTGAGCACCTCGGTGTTGTCACCAATTATGGAGTGGAAAAATGATTTCCAGTGAAACCCATGCACTGGTAGAGCCTGACAGCCAAGTCCACCGTGAAGCTCAAGACACCTGACAAATGTTAACCAGGTGAACTTCACACTGGTCTTAATTTTGTTGCAAGATTATAACATTCACTAAGTTATCCTTTGTAATAAAACAGTGAGGTCCTGGGGCAGAGTGTCTTTGGCAGTACAGAATGCACTCATTTCATCTCCTTTATTCATCATCTAATATGCACAACACAGTGCCCCTAAGCACACACCTCTTTATCTCCACCGTTGTGTCTTCTTCCTCCTCACCTTTACTCTTTGAGCTGCACCTTTGACAGAGATATCTGAAAGAACTGCAGCACACCTGGCTGCACAAAGCACTTCTCATGCCACCACGCACGGTTGTGCACCAATTGTTTTCACCAATTTCACGGGGAAGACAAAGATTTCTGCTTTCACCTTGCTTGGCTGAACACTGAATTCCAGTTGCTGAGGGCTCCGGTTGTTCGTAGAACAGAGCACAACCTTAGTTCAGCCCCAAAGAGAACCCTGCAGAGGCTGAGCCTGCGGGGCCAGACACAAGGTACAAGTGGGTTGTTAGAGCTGCTGCAGGGAAATGTGGAATAGCTCTGCGCTGATGGGCAGTGAGCCAGCAGCAGTTGGTTGGTGGATTTCAAAACAAGGCGCCAAATGGTTGTTTTGGGAGAGAAAAAAAAAAAAAAAAAGAAGACCATAACAAACAAACACTGGGTTTGTTTTCATCAGCATTTGAGATCGGTGCCAGGCTTTTATATAACAGCAGCATGGGGTGTGAGCTGTGTGTGCTCCCCTCCCACAGCTCCAGTGGGGCTGCAATGATCAGAGCAATTCTCGGAGCCTGCAGCGCTGGGATTGCTTGTGATAAAGCCAGCTTTGTGAGCTCCGAGGAACTGCGGCTCAGCAGCAGCCCACACCCTCCTGCACTGCTCTTCCAGGCTGCCAGCAGGCAGGGGACCTGCTCGTGTCCTGAGGAAATCTGAACTGCGCAGAGCACGAGGAGCATGATGCTGTTTTCACAGCCTGCTGGCGAGTATTGATCAGCTGGAATGAAACTTGGCTCTATGTGTGAAAGTCCAAACTCACCACGTCCGACTATTGGCCTGATATTTCAATAAAGGTTATAAGGATAATCTTGACATTAGATTAATGTTGTTATACATCTACATCAATAGGTAAACCCATGAGGGCTCTGACTTCATGGGCTCCAGGACTGCCTGCAGCCAGGCTAGACAGAAAACATCATTTTGTTCCCACCTGGCCATCTCATTTCATTTCAGCTGTATTTTCACAGTATTCTCTCAACAAGAAATGTGTCGTCTTACTACTTTGGAAGAACCCCAGAGCTGTGGGGAGCCAGTGAAGAGAAAGTTCAGTACCTAATGCTCCTTTCCCTGATAAAGGCTCCTTTCCCCAAATCTGAGTTTGATTGGGGAGCGCTCCTCGGTTGCTCTAGTGTGACAGAAGTGGCTCTTTTTGGCACTGGTAAGATAAACCACCACTGGGAGAAGTGACAAAGCAGGATTGCTTTAAGGTGCGGAACTCTGAGCCCCCGCCTTATTCCTCTGTTTATTTTTGTTGAGATGGGGAAAAACTGAGTTCTCTTTTTCTTTTTTTTTTTTCTTTTTTTTTTTTTCTTTTTTGGTAAAAAATTCTTAATTCTGGTCACATGAGACCACTTGCAGTCTAAAGGGCTGCCCAGGTCCTCATAACAACAGTCACTCCATTTCTGCCACAGAAAAAAGCACAGAGCTGAGTTCTCTCTCCCAGGTTTGGTTAACACTTCCCCCACTGCAATTCAGGCTGAATTCTGCCACAATAAGAAGGCAGATGCTGTAGCAGAAGAATATTATTGTCCAAGCCCTGCCAAACATGATTTGCTTGGAATTAGATGCAATACATCCTCTATTCATTAGGAGGTGTCTTCTTGCCTTGAAAAAATCCTTCTATATGGAGTTTGCTGTCTGCTTTAATTCCACAGCTGTCCACTCTGTTCCTCTTTGCTCTTTTTTACACACTCTTTCTCATTAGCAACTGAGGAAGATCTCATCCATGGCATACTACTAATTTTCTCTCCTTGCTTTGGTGCCTTCCGTCCTGACGCTGCCAGAAGCAATTTCATTCAATGAAAGATAAAAATCTATAGTAAGGCATGAGCACTTCTTCCAAGCTTGAAGTCGTTGCTAATAATTTTTAAATTACTGTTGAGCTGAGCTGAATTTGGACACCTAGTAAATGTTCTGGGCTGTGTGTTTGATTCATGCCTCATCCTGAAAATAATGAAAATATCTGAGACAGCTAAACACAGACAGGCAGTTCAGAGTGAGATAAGGAACATGAGGCAGAGGGGAAGTGTGATGACTACAGGAAAGACAGAAATAATCTCACTATTAAAGATGTACAAGTAATACAGGGCAGAATGAGAAAACAGAGGACACTGCAGCAGCTGCTAAGAAAGGTAGGCAGTTGAGGTAAAAATCAGCAGCGGAGATGCCGTGTTCCCACATTTGTGACGGTATCAGCTTTCAGCATCATTATGAAATCCAAGATAGCATCAGAAAACTCATCACACCGAACTATAAAGTGGCCAACAACTGAAAAGATGCTTGGCATCAAAGGTTGTGCGAGGCTTTCCTTTGTCATGATTCCCTGCTGTAAGCAATCTCTTCATTTCTTTGGTGGGAAGAAGCACCCTGGTACAAGGCAGAACCTGCCACCGCTGTCTCCATTATCTGACGTCTCAAGAATTTATGCTTAACCTACCCAGATAGCCAGATATGTTGCAAGCACCTCCGAGCTGGAGCTCCACATCAGAATGCAGAGCACTTCCAAGCTCCTGACTTGTTATCAGAGCAAATGCTGTACATGCACAGCTTTCACCTGTGCTGCGCTGCCCACAGAAGTCAGTGTGGGGGAGCGGGTGAGGCAGCAGCCTTGGCATCTTCCCATCCCGCTCCCCAAACTGTCCTGTTCTCAGTGAGGAAAAGTGAACAAACACGTTCAGCAAACAAGGAGGCGAGGCCAATAACAAGGATGAAAGTCTGCAAGTGTTCTGGTTACTGCTTAAGAAAGGCACATTCTAAATATTGTAGACAATATGAGATTTCGAGTGTAAGGAAGTATAAATATAAAAGGAAGATTTTACTGTGATGTGGTATCATCACTGAGAAAAAAAAAAAGTAATATTAAAAGGTAAAAAAAAAGAATCTTGAAATGTACGAAGTTTATAGGAAAAAAAAAAATCTGACAGAATAATGGAAGAGTTTTGACTAAACTTCATGACGAAAGCAGACTTGCATCTGGATTATATTCTCAATCAAAAAGAGGTAAAAGTTGTAAAAGAATTTCCAGACTATGATCAGTGTGTGGAGCATCATGTCAATGAGAAAAAACATTTACGCAGAGGCATTCCTAAAATACTTTTTTTTTTTCAGCTTTATATAATCAAATTTAATTACTGGTCTTCCACAGATTTCTTAGTGCTGGAAACTGCATGTTGGGTCAGAACAAGTTCATTCTAAGTGCGTGGCTTGACACTCACTCTGAAGCGTTATTTTTTAATTTAATTTAATTTAATTTTTTTTTTTTTTTGCTTTGCTTGGGGGAGGGCAGCAATGTCTGATTCGCTGCAGGCTCACAGCAGCTCCGGCTGGAGGCACGCGCTGGGCTTTGGAGCTGATCCAGCAGCAGTTGGTTTACAGTTTGCAACTGGCGCCGAAATTCAAAAAACGCACTGTACTTCAAATCCAGAGCGGGGATGGAAACAATGAGGAAGGAGGTGGCTCTGCAGGCTCCTGGGCTGTCCTTGGTGTGGCTCCCAGCCTGAGCGTGGGGTCAGACCTCCCTGCTGAGAAATGAGGCACAGCGCTATGGGATTTGTAGTCTGTCCTTCCTGCTTCCTCCTGCAGATGCATTTTAAGGCAAAGACGACTGCTTTCAGAGAGCGGTTTCACGCTGAGTTTACATCAGATCTCACTAAGATCTGACAGCAGTGCTCTTTACTTACTGACGTGCCTACGCACCTATAGAAATGATACATGTGGCGATCAGCATGATTTTCATCCCTCTGAGTAACCCACTGACACCCACAGCTTTGCAGGCTCAGTGTGGAAGGAAACCCCTGCCCTCAGCTCTCTGCAGGAGGAGCAAAACTTACCTGAAAACCTGCTGCTTACACAGGCAGCTGCTACAGATACACAGCAATTGCAAGAGGGACTCAGAACTGCTCACCCACAGCAGAGCGGTGATGTACTGAGGTTTTCCAGTTTGACAAGTACATGATCTTAGCTTCCCAGATCCTCTAACATGAGAATCAGCTCGCTTCTGTTTTGATCATAAACACCTATTTGTTCAGCCTGGCTCCCTGAGTTTCTTTCCATCTATTGCATGGAGTATTTTCTTATTTGTTTTTCAATTTAGTTGTCTTCTATTGCTGGCTTGCATTACACTCACACTCCTTTTTCCTTTGCTGTTGTACCAACTTCAAACTCGTTTTTCCCAGAAAATCTTCCTTTTCTCAGCCTTCCCTGTCAGTCACAATGCAAAACCACACTGAGTGCTTTTCAGTCTCAACGCTGGGGACATAAGGAATTCACCGCTCACGCATTTTATACTGGTTAAATGTATAAGAACTTACAGAAGTCGGAGTATAATCAGTAAAAACATGCTTTGAGGAAGGTAATACTCCAAGAATTTAGGAAATGAAAAATTCCCAACAGCTTCATTGTGAACTGGCAGCATGCCCTGGGATAGCAAAAGCACTTTCTTCGTGATCAGCCTGACCCAGGAGCATCGCACCTTCTCAGCATCACCATGGATGTTTTTAATGCCTGCAAAACAGCCCTCCTAAAAATCCCCGCTAGGAAGCAGTTGATTGAAACCCCAAGAAGCAAACTACAGTTCTCAGCCTACAGATGCTGACAGGGAAGCACAGCAAATTCCTCAGCAAGCCTCGCTGCTAACCCGTGCCCCCTTCCGTGGCAGGGAAGGCAGTTCGTTCGTAGGAGGCCGTTTCTGAGGAGCACAGGGGGCTGCACTGCTGTGACACGGGCTGACGAGAAGGAACCCTGATCCCACAGCTCCGCTCCCTCACGCTTGGAGGGGAAAAACAAACCGAACCCAACGAGCGGTCTCTCCTTTCCGAACCGCCTTTATTCACAGTCAAGGTTATTACGTACAAGGTTATCAAATAACCTTTCTCCCCGTGCTTTATTCCCAGTCTCAACGGCTTAACTATATTCAAAACCCGCGGAGCGGCGGCGGGCAGCCCACAAAATGGCGGCGGCGCGGACTCCTCCTCCCGGCGCGCCCCGCGCGGCCATCTTGGCGCCCAGACTTCATTTCCCATGCGGCGCGGCGGCGGGGCAGGCGATGTCCGCCATCTTACCGCTCCCTCCTCCCCCGGTGCGGCCGGATTGAATGAGCCTGCTGCCCGCGAGCTGAGCGCCATGTCAGGTACCCCGATCCGCGGCACCCCCGGCGGGACTCCGCTATCGCCGACCCGCATCTCCCGCCTGCAGGAGAAGGAGGAGCTGCGGCAGCTCAATGACCGCCTGGCCGTCTACATCGACCGCGTACGGGCGCTGGAGCTGGAGAACGACCGGCTGCTGGTGAAGATCTCCGAGAAAGAGGAGGTCACTACCCGCGAGGTACGGCCTGCCGCCTTCACCCGGGGCTTCCGTGGCGGTGGCGGCCGGTGGGGCCCCTCGGTCCCGGGCAGCCGGGCTGGCGGCCCTGCGCTCGGCCCATTCCTCCCCCGCGGCGGCGGTGCTCCGGGTTGCGGGGGCTGTGGGGGTGTACGCCTAGGGCTCCGGGGGCCGCGGGGAGAAGCGGCTGCTGGCGGCGCGCTGAGCGCGGCTCGGGCTGCGCGCGTCACCGAGCGAGAGCGAAAGGCGGGAAGGAGCGCTGCGGGGGGGCGGCGGGCCGGGCCTGGGCCGCGCCGGGTGGGGCCGGCGGGAAGGAGCGAGCTTCCCGCCGCGCTGCGGGTCCGGGCGCTGCGATGAGGGCTCCGCGCCGGCCCGCTATCGCAGGTAAACCCGTGAGGTGAGGGGATTTTGGTCCCCGCCGCGCGGCTGTTAGCGCCAGGAGATTTGGAAGGGTTGTGCTAAGTTTGCTTCTCGCCGGAGAAAATCTTTCTTAGTGCCTGCAAATGGTGTGTGGACCGGATCCGTTACCTGTGGCAGATAACCTGTTCTGTTTCCTGTGACCACCTTTTTTTTTTTTTTTTTTTTTTTTTTTTTTTTTTTGAAGCCGTGTTTTATTTTTCCCTCTTGTCCCCTACCTGCTGCCCCCACGACCCTCCCTCCTTCCCGTGTGGGGGGTGGATGGCGGTCCCACCTGGTCCGTACCAGCTCACAGCCCTCCTGTGGGATCACTGAGGCTGGGGAAGGGCTGTGAGATAACCAGCTCTCAGCCCGTCCCCGCCGTGCCCACTGACCATGTCCCCATGTGCCACATCTCCACCATTCTCCAACCCCGCCAGGTGACCCCGCCGCCCTCTGGGCTTCCAGTGCTTTCTGAGAGGAAATTGTTCCTCATATCCAACCTCCATCCCTTGGAGGCAGCCTGCAAGGCGAGGTGTCCCACTAAGTGAAGTTTGAGTTGAAGCTGGCAGCTGATAGCACTGTGAAGGGGGTGATGTGAGGGATTGCTCTGCCACTTGTGTAGGCTTTTTTTTTTTCCTCCTTCTTTAAGGATCTGGTGTGATGATGGCAGCAGGAGAAAAGTTTGAATTTCTGCGATTTAGCTTAAGTAGGCCAAATATGGTAATGTCTTGTTGGGGAGAGGTCAGCCTGCCTGCAATCAGTGCTCGCCAAAGTATCTTGAAATGCGTTTGTATCACTTAACGATGTAATGTAACATGTGTTTTCAAAGTAATCGGATATTTCTTATCATAAAGAATGCCTGCATCTCTTGTCCTATATGAAATCATGCTATAAACAAAATAACCACCTCTGGCTCCAGGCACTAGGGAGCTATAGATTGCTGGAGGCTGGAACATAAAAACAGGGAATAAACACTTTCAATATATAAAGCAGAATATAATTAACAAGAACACATGTAATCAAAGTAGGTACAAGCACAAGACATTTAGTCTTACGTGTAGTGTAAATGATGTAAACCAACTTACTGTAGTTGTTCTGTGTGTTACTGAGCCTGGGAAATGCTCTGCATTAAACGGGGAAGGTTAGCTTGAGGGTTTTCACACATTTTGCTTACTTTTCCCTTTCAGTTTTCCTCTCTTTATTAAGTCTTAATTCTGAGATTCTTCTCTGGGTCCCTTCCAGCTCAGGGTGTTCTGGGATTCTTTTGCTTTGTGTTAGAGCCAATGCTTGTACAATCCTTCACCTGGACTGCGTGCTAAAAGCTTGCCTGCTGTTTCTAGGACAGCTTATTTTTTTTAATGTGTGTCCAGAAGGGGACTTTGCAGTCTTACTGAGTTTCAATTCAGGCCTGTGGGCAGTGGATTAGGGCTGTGTGAGCAGTGAAACTTCATGTGGCTGTCAAGTTCTGGGTGCACTGAAATAGGAGAGTTCTGTCCTTCTGGCACTAATGTGGTAAACTGGTTTTTCTGCTGATGCTTCAGTTTCCTTGTTGAATTTGTGTTCCTAAAATAATCAAACTCAGAATGAAATAAAGTATTAATTTAAGAAAGCAACAAAACAGTAGCTTCTATGCAGAGGCACTATTAAGTGTAGTCTACTGCCATTCTGTTTGGGATGCGTCGTTATCTCTTTGTATTAACTCTGTGTGTTTGAAGTGGACTATTTAATTTTCCGGAGTGTTCACGATGAAAAATCCCTTTGGTGATTATCCTCAACCATCTTCAAATTTTAGCTGGTTTTCTTTGTTTTTTTTAGCTTAATGTTCCTAGTAGCTTTGACTTATTCATGGTTCCGTGCTTTCTCTCTGCTGATACTCTCATTACTCTGCCTTTAATAACTGTCTTGACTTTTTATGGATGAGGGAGCCTTTTTTTCCCCGATTCCAAGACTTTTAATTTCAATACTTAATAGGTCTGCTACTGTTTCTTCTTCCCAATAAATACAAGGAGCCTTCTGATTTTTGTTAATCTGTGATGTGTGGCAGACTGCCTGATGGAATAATCATGAGTAACTGAGTGAAGTGATGGTTCCCTTCCCACAATTAGAACGATGGCATTTTCACAGAATCACAGAATTGTAGGGGTTGGAAGGGACCTCCAGAGATCGAGTCCAACCCCCCTGCCAAAGCAGGTTCCCTACACCAGGTCACACAAGTAGGCGATGTGAATCACTTTGATGTGAATAAAAGAACAGCTTGTAGAAATGGAGGAATTCCCATATTTTAATTGTGCACTTAAGTATGCATTGAATCAGAAAGCAATATTTTTTCTTCCCACCAGGGAGCAGGCCTGGTTAATTTTTTGTTTCTGCTCCAGAAGGTTTGTTACAACTTCTGCATAGTCAGTGGGAGACAAGTGCTTGCTGCTGATACTGAACTGTTTGGGATAATTTTAGCTTAAATTGGCTGAAGATTTTCAGAAGGACCTCAGTGACTGATGCCAGGACCATATGGTGGATGCAGCCATGCGTGCTGTGGATTGACAAGCACTGCTTATCTGCTAGGCTCTGTGTTAACACCTGAAACTTCTGCCTTGAGAGCAGTTGACACATCTGCTTTTTTTTTTAACAACCTTTAGCAGCTTCTGTCTGTCTTAAAACATGCACAAGAGCAAGGTGATGTTATAGTGGTGTTTGGCCACTGCTTGTCACCCTGGTGTCCCCACATGTCCATGTCTCACTACGGGTTGGGGTGCGACCATTACTGACGTCTGACCACTGCTGACATCCCTTACCACTGCATGCATGGGAGCAAAGGGGGTGGCATTTCTGATTTGGTTCTGAGAACTTTGGTTCTGTGGAATCACTTCTACATGAATGAATTGTTAATGTGCTGTTCAGGCAAGGACTACTGTTTCATCAGGCTCTTCAAACATCAGCTGATTATGATGGTTTTTTTTCGAATTGTCCAACCTGCCAGCCAGCAGAGGAAAGAAGGGAGCAGCCGCTTTCTACCAATCTGGGTCACCTCAGTTCTGCGGGCTTACAGCTGCATCGTAGCCTTGGAACAACATAGCTCCTGCTACTACCTCTTAACATGAGAGAAGAACTCATCAGAAGTTCAGATTCATCTCCAGTTGTCTGCTAATTACATTCATCTTTCAAGCTTTTGCAAACCTATCTAATGCTGTTTTGCCTTTACTAGCATGCAGTAGGCCTCTAGAGAAATAAAACTACACAGTGAGCACTTGGATAAATAAAAATAAAAGTTGCCTTTTCAGCTGGGGAAACCAGTAACTGTATTCATTCTCAGTTTGTTCTCTTGTGTGAATTCACTTGTGTAGCTTAGCCTATGAGAGTAGATAAATTGAGTGTATCCCCTTGTTCTTGTATTCCCTAGTATTTGGTTGATATTCTCACTGTCGTGGGGCCGCTATTACCTGATCTGTGAGGTTGGGAGAGGGAGTGGTTGAAAGGATGAAGGTGGGAAGACTCCTTTCAGTAATACCTTCATTCCTGGTGGTGTTTATGATTGTAGTCCTCCAGAAGAGACATTTTTAAATGAGTATTGGAGGGCTTACTATGCTGTTCTGAGAGTGTTCTGCTGTCCTCACCCACAACAAAAAAACAAAAACGAGTGGGATGGAGAAAGGAAACGAAGATCCATGGGGAAATCTCAGCACTGACAGCAATTGCACTTGGGACAGAAGCAGTATGTACAGGCTTCCCTCTTCTGTGTCTTCTCAAGCTCTGTGGATATCATCGCAGGCGGCTGCAGTCTTGTAAGTTAGAGCCATTAAAACTTTACTGCAGCCTCACCTGGTCTCTTCTTACCTGCCAGTGCTGCAGCTGCTGTGCCCTTTGCTGCCCCGTGTGTAGCAACCAGAGCTAGCACTAAACTAGGATACATGCCCTTGGTGCTACTTTGTTGTCATCTGTGAAACGCATATTTGGATGCTTCTGTGGGTGGTGGATCACCTGAGTCCTAACCTGCAAGACACAGGATTAAGCAGTGCTGCAGAGATCAGCTGAAGAGTGATGGTGCTGGTGCACAACACGCATGCATCTATCTTCATTGCTCTTGAGAACTTGGGTCTCTTAAGATTGCTTATGTTCCATCTCCATGCTGCCTTCTTAGTTTTCTTTTTCCTCCAATCTTCCTGGCCTGTAGCAACTCCAGTATCTGCTTGTGGCCTCTGTCGGAGATAATGCTGTAGTAAGCAACCATCTGCTTTGTATGGAAAATATTTCTCCTGTTAATTGCTGGGAATGTACTTTGTACTACCTCTTGGCTTGACACCTGCGAGACTGCCATGCCTGCCTGAAAAAGGAGAGAAAGCATATTTTAGCTCTCTTGCTGAAGTCTCTGGGCAAAGGCATCCCTGGTCGTCTTAGATCCATGACCTCATGGATTGGGTTTCAGTGCTGTGGCACTTATATCTCTGTGAAGAAACTGGTTCTTAACCATATGGGCAGGTCACCAGATTTCTTTGGAAGAATGTGATGCTGTTTACAATTTTTGGATAAACTGCCTTTGATGTTGATACTGATGATTGCCTGTTTCTGAGCAGGCATTTCCATAGCCTTGATGCATGGGACCACATCAG